GGGAGGGGAGGGGGGGGGGAAGGGAATGGCAGGGCGCCTGTGCCCTGCCACGTGGTAGTTGCGTCGCGAGTGCCACGTGGCAGAACGACGATCGCCCTGCCACACCCTTCCCCCCGTCCCCTCCCCCCACCCCTACCACCTTTTTTTTTGTCGAAATGAAAAAAAGAAAAATAGAAAGAAAGAAAGAAAGAAAAATAGAAAGAAAGAAAGAAAGAAAGAAACAAAGAAAGAAAAGAAGTAGTAGAAGAAGAAGGAGAAGAAGAAGAAGAAGAAGAAGAAGAAGAAGAAAATGGGAGGGGAGGGGAGGTGGGGGGGCGCGTCGCGACTGCCACGTGGCAGGGCGACGATCACCCTGCCACACCCTTCCCCCCGTCCCCTCCCCCCACCCCTACCACCTTTTTTTTATTTCGAAATGAAAAAAAAAAATAGAAAGAAAAAAAGAAAGAAAAATAGAAAGAAAGAAAGAAAGAAAGAAAGAAAGAAAGAAAGAAAGAAAGAAAGAAAGAAAGAGAGAAGTAAAAAAGAGAAGAAAGAAAGAAAAAAAAAAAAAAGAGAAAAAAAAAAGAGAAGAAAAAAAAAAAAAAAAAAAAAAAAAAAAAAAAAAAAAAAAAAAAAAAAAAAAAAAAAAAAAAAAAAAAAAAAAAAAAAAAAAGTATGAAAGAAAAAAACTAGAAGAAAAAGAAGAAAAAAATGAAGAACGAAGGGGGAGGGGAGGGGTTGGTAAGTCAACGAATCAAGTACCTTTACAAGTTCCACTGCAGCTCCCCGCAACAACTCTCTCTCTGTCTCTGCGCTCCTCTCTCTCTCTCTCTCTCTCTCTCTCTCTGTCTCTCTCTCTCTCTCTCTCTCTCTCTCTCTCTCTCACTGTGCCCAGGCTTTTGCAGATGCTTAAGCGTTGAAGAACGTCACACACACGTGGACAACACAAGAACAAAGAGGTGTTGATGGGGACACGAAGCACGAAGGAGAAGATGAAAACGGAGAGGTGAAGATGAAGACAACGCAAAACACCAACCAACGTCAACAGAAATGAGGTGAAACTAGTGTATAGACAACTAGGTATTGGTAGGGGGAAAAAAAAAAGCAGGCTCAGCCCAGGCCAACAAAGAGCAGGCCTTGGAAAAAAAGTACCTGTGGTAAACAAGGCAAACAAAACAGTAGTACTCGCACAATAGGCCAAAATGTTGTATTAAGAAAATAGAAGGCCAAAATGGAGAGGCACCGTGGTGGCACCGCACCAAAAAAAAATAAAAAAATGAAACCGGTCCACGCTGCAAGGGGGCACAAGAGAGAGAGTTACGGAGGGTCCAGTGTCGTGACAAAAAAATAAATGGCTCGACACAAAAACAAAGAAAACGGATACAACACATCCCCACCCATGCATTGGAAAAAAGTACTTGTGGTATACAAGGCAAACAAAACGGTACTACTGGCACGATGCCGTGAAAAAATGTTGTAGTATGAAAAAGGAAGGCAAAAATGGAGATGCACCGTGGTGGCACCGGACGTAAAAAAAAAAAAAAAAGGAACCGGTCCACGCCGCAAGGGGGCACAAGAGAGAGAGTTACGGAGGGTCCTGCATCGTGACAAAAAAATTAATGGCCTCGACACAAAAACAGAGAAAACGGACCTGTGGGGAAAAAAAAAGGGGCTCGGCCTACGCCAACCAAGCGCGGGCCTTCGAAATAAAAGGCACATGTGCTATGGCGGGCAAACAAAACTACCCGATGCCTGCATAGGCCGAGACACCAACAAAAAACCCAGGGCCACAAGGAAGACGCACCGTAATGACACGATAGCAAAAACGAAGGGGCGGGGGGGG